AAATGCAGTCACTATCTACATGAATAAGATATTGTAGTCACCCCTGACACACACATACCTTTATCCACAGACTCCAGTGGATGCCTGAAAGAACAGATAGGACCAAACCCTATATATACTGTTCTTTCCTATACATACTATGATAAAGATTAATTTATAAATTAGGCACAGAAAGAGGATAACAACAACAATATAACAACAAGTATAACACTGTTCTATAACAAAATTTATGAAAATGTGGTTTCAAAATATTTTCTTATACTGTGTTCAAACTTCTTGTGATGAGGACATGAGACACAATGTCTATGTGATGAGATGAAGTGAGGTGACTGACATAGGCATTATGAAGAAGTAAGGCTACCACTGGCCTTCTTACCAGAACAGAAGCACTGCAATACCACAGTCAATCTGATAGCCAAGATGGCTACCAAGTGACTAACAGCAAGCTACACTGAACAAAGGGATAGAATCATGTTCTGGGCTAGATGGAACAGGACAGCATGGAATTTCATCACCCTCCTCAGAATGGGATGCAACTTAAAAGTTCTGAATTGTTTATTCCTGGAATTTTTCATTAAAAATTTTCAGACCACAGGTAATTGAAAGTATAGAAAGCCACCCATAAGGGTGGATTAATGTATTACTTACAGGGAAGATATAACAAGATATAGTAACTTTGGTCCAATACTTTTCTTCTGACTTTTTAGGGAAATTGTCCTTTCCAGGATCTTGGTAAGAGAAGGAAAGTGTGTAAAGCACATGGGTTGAGATGGGGGAGTAGTGAATTCACCTATCAACCCTGAGATCTGCTTTGAGTTAATGGTGAGCCTATCTTGGAGGAAGGTAAAAGTGAAGGAGGCAATCCTCTAAGACAAAAAAAAAAAAAAACCCTCCCAATAAGCAATTTTATTTATTTATTATTTGTTTTATTTAGTTACACATGACAGTACAATGATCTTGATATATCATACATTTTAATCAGATGGGATACAATTTCTCATTTTTCTGAGTGTACAGGTTGCAGAATCACATTGGTCATGCAGTCACGTATATACTCACAGCAATAATAATGTCTATTTTTATTCTGCTGTCCTTCCATTCAATAAGCAATTTTAGCATGTGCTCTGTTGAGAGCCACAGCCGAAGGGGCCCCAGCAAACTTCCAGCTGCCAGCAAACTTCCAGCTGCCGGCTGATGATTGGCTCACAGCGGCCCCAGCAACATCTAGCTGATTGGCTCCTCCGCCCAGCAACATCTAGCTGATTGGCTCCTCTGCGGTGATGCTCATTGGGCTGTTTCCCTGCCCTTTCAGACCATGGAGCTGCTCATTGGGGGACTTTTTGGCTCCGCCCACATGACCCTGCCAATCGGCCTCAAGAGCAGGAGGATTGTGGGAGGTGGGGAGAAGCTTGTGTGGGAGAGTCAGTCTTGTGGAAAGCCGGTGGTGGCAGTTGAGGCTCTGAGGATTTTTCCTGAGAGGCTGTTTTGTTTGGCGTGTGTGGTTCTAAAAATAAAGTTAGTTTCTTTTGACAAGTGGCTCCTGATTGTGCCCAGCCAGACTGCGGCAGTGCTCAACCCTGGGGGAAATGTGGTACTTCAGTAGAAGGAGAAAACTTTATTTTCTAATCTCATATTAGTATATTACTAGTGTTATTTAGCTGGACTTATCACTCATTTTTTTCTAAAGTTCATTTTCCTTATCTATGTCAAAAATTCATGAGAACTAACTAAAATAATAAACATGAAAAAACAACTTTGTAATGCCCAAGATCCTACACTGTGAGGTGTAAGACACTTCAGGAACACATCCTAGTCTGTCACTGATTTCCAGCAGCTCCCTGACTGTTCCATAGTCACTGTTACGAACAGCTCTCCACAGACAATCAGGTGATGTGTGGCATCTTTCCCACAGGAAGATATAGTGTAGCTTACCCTCTAGATCAGTCTGGCAATGTTCTTGATCTCTAACTTCTCTGTACCAAGACATGCCGTGGTGCCACCTGAAATGCAGGTTTTCTTAGTCCCCCTTCCTGATTTACCTGCAGTGGATCAGCTCCCCACCAGTAATGGGTTTTCTTCTTTTATTTTACCATATCCAACTTTCTGATTCCTTAAACTGTTCTGAGAGTCTAGTATTAAATCCCAGTTCAATCTCTCTTTTCACGAACCACCTCACTGAGAAGCTGTTTATCTACTTTCCTGGTCTCATGCCATGGAGCAGCTTGGAAAACAACCTCCTCAACCTTTCCATCTTCCTCCAACCCCTGTCTTTTCATGGTTTCTTAAGGTGGAATGTTAGATGACTAATTTGAGAATTTTTAAAATATAAACATTATACCTATAAATTCCCTTTAAGAACTGCCTTAGCTTTATCATATGAATTTTAATATATTATGTTATTTCATTCATCTCAAAGTATGTTCTAGAGTTATTTTTTATTTCTTCTGTCACTTACTGGTTATTAAAGAGTGTTATTTAATCTCTGTATTTTTGTGAGTTCCTCAAATTTGGTACTGATTTTAAATTATTTCTCTGGTGGAGAAGAAACTTTATATTTCAATTATTTTATACTGATCAAAGTTTGTTTTATGTTTAGTATATGGTCTGCCCTGGAAAATGTTTCATTTATATTTGTAAAAAATGATATTCTGCCCTTATTAGGTGGAGTGTTCTTTACAAATGACTCTGTTAGGTCTAGTGGGTTAATTATTGTTCATGGTTTTTCTCTTCCCTTGTTAATCTTCTGCATAATTATTCTATACATATCTTAGTCAATTTGGGTAATTAAAACGGATTACCGTAGACTGGATGGTATACACAACAGAAATTTATTTCTCACATTTGTAGAAAGTTTGAGATCAGGAGGCCTGCATGGTCAGATTATGGTGAGGATATTCTTCTTCGCTTGCAGATAATCATCTTGCTCTGTCTTCCTCACAAGGCAGAAAGCAGACAAAAATTAGTTCTTTTGTCTCTCCTAATAAACCTCAAAATGGTTTCACAATCATTACCTCCAAAGGCCTCATTTCCTAATGAAAACATCCCTCTGGGGATTAGAGTTTCAACATATGAATTTTAGGGGAACCCATACATGCAATCCATAACAATACACAACTGAAAGTGGATTACTGAAATTTTCAAGTATAATTAATTTTCTTTTTCTCCCTTCAATTTCTGTCAGTTTTCACTTCATGTATTTTTGCAATATACACACACAGTATACACACTTGTTATATCCTGATGAAAGTACCCCTTTTATCACTGTAAAACATCACTGTTTACCTATTTCTAGTAACATTTTTGTGTGTTTTAAAGTCTACTTTGTCAAATAATACATAGCCAATTCAGCTTTCTATGGTTACTGTATGAATATCTTTTTTTTTTTTTTTAATACTAGGGATTGTGCTTTACCACTAAGATTCATCCCCAGGACTTTTTAATTTCTTTTTAATTTTATTTTTTGATACCCAGGGGAAATTTACCACTGAGCTATATTCCTAGCCCTTTTTATTTTTAATTTTGAGACAGGGTCTCAAAATAGAGGCTTTCTAAATTGCTGCATAGTATGCCTTGAACTTGTAATCCTCCTGACTCAGCCTCCCTACTAGTGGGATTACAGGCATGTGGTGGCTATATGCATATCTTTTCCATACTTTTACTTTCACTCTGTTTGTATCTTTGAACCTAAAATGTGTCACCTATAGATAGCATAGAGTTCATTTTTATTTATTTTTTCCTGTTGGACAATCTGTACTTCTCATTGGGTTGTTTAATCTATTCCAATTCACTGTTTTAGCCAGTGATTCTTCAGGAAAGACTTGCTGGAGACTGGTAGGAAGGTACTTTCTTCCTCTTGGAAAATTCAAAGGAAGTTCATCTCTACCTCTGGATGTGAGTAAGAAAGAACTGTAACCCTATTTTTATAACCTCATGGGAAAATAGCCAGTATTGTGGACAGAGCAGATAGAGAGAAAGAACTTGTGATAACTAATATCAATTGCTTAAGATAAAAATAACCATTTGCTTCAGGTTCATCCTACGTGTGTGAAAGTCCTCTTCAGGCCCAGTCAAGACAGTGATGTTTTATCGTGGCCCATCTGACCCATGGGCCACAAATGCATCTTTTTTGTCCCATCATCCCTACACACTCTTAGAAGCAAACCACAACCTATTGCTTCTCTGAAGAGGATCTCTACTGGGTGTCTCTGCCATCACAGTAAAAGCAACCTCACATGTGTTGACAAACTGGAATTTCTGCTCTTTCTGTGTCACATCCCAACAACCACTGACTTATTAGTTATTTGATACAGTTAGGAAGATTTTGGGAAATATTTGTTCAAATCTGGCAATTTCTTTCAGTGCATAAATTGGTCAAAATTATCTTGTTTACTCAATGGAATAAGTCTACTTACGAGAAAAAAATAGAGGCTATCTAAATATCCAAAGCTAGGATATGGGTAAACTGAAAAGCAATTTTGAAAAGTGGAAAATTATTTAATGGTGTCCTTACACCATTAAGATAAAATAGGGACATGGAATAAGAATTCATTGCTATCATAATATTTAAAATGTAATTACATAAGAATATGTAAGATATGATCTCTTTTTAAATACTATACACATATTCATACATTCCCAGCCCTTTCAATTATTTTTATTTTGAGACAAGAACTTACTAAATTGCCAAGGCTGGCCTCTAACTTATGATCTTCCTGCCTCAGCTCCCTAAGTAGCTGGGATTACAGATGTGCAACACCATGCCTAGCTAAAATTATTTATTTATTTATTTATTCTAATTTGTTATACATGACAGCAGAATGCATTTCAGTCCATAGTACATAAATGGAGCACAATTTTTCATTTTTCTGGTTGTATACAAAGTAGAGTCACACCATTGGTGTCTTCATACATGTACTTAGGGTAATGATCCATCTCATTCCACCATCTTTCCTACCCCCATGTCCCCTCCCTCCCCTTTGCTCTAACCAAAATTTCTCCATTCCTCTCATGCTCCCCACAACCCCCATTATAGATCAGCATCCACTTATCAGAAAAAACATTCAGCCTTTGGTTTTTGGGACTGGCTTTCTTCACTTAGCATGATAGTCTAACTCCATCTATTTACCTGTAAATTCCATGATTTTATTCTCTTTTAATGCTTAGTAATATTCTATTGTGTATATATACACCACAGTTTCTTTATCCATTCATCTACTGAAGGCCATCTAGGTTGATTTCCACAATTTAGCTATTGTGAATTGTGCTGCTATAAACATTGATGTGTCTGGGTCATTGTAGTATGCTGTTTTTAAGTCCTTTGGGTATAAACTGGGGAGTGGGATAGCTGAGTCAAATGGTGGTTCCATTCCAAGTTTTCCAAGGAATCTCCATACTGCTTTCCAGATTGGTTGCACCACCAGCAATCCCACCAGCAATGTAAGAGTAGGGAAAACCACATCCTCGCCAACACTTATTATTACTTGTATTCCTAATAACTGCAATTCTGGCTGGAATGAAATAAAATCTTAGAGTAGTTTTGATTTGCATTTCTCTAATTGCTAGAGATGTTGAACATTTTTTTCATATATTTTTGGATCGATTGTATATCTTCTTCTGAGAAGTATCTGTCCAGCGTCTTTATCTAAAAATTTTAATGAAATAATTCCACAACAATTTTCCTTTAGAAACTGAATGAAAGAGGATGCATTCTTTTTTAAAAAATACCTTTATTTTTTATTTTTTTATAAGCAGTGCTGAAAATCGAACCCAGTGAAGCATTCTACCACAGTCCCAGCCCCCAGAGGATGTATTCTTATACAACATAAATTCAGACAACTCCCACATATTTTTAATGTGGCTTTATATTTTTATAAGCATTTAATTTCAATAAAACAATGAAACAGTGTATCAGAGTACATTTCTTCTCAGTCCCTGGGTATCCTATCTAACCTATGAACACCTGGGTGACATTCTTATGTAATTTTAAATTACAACACTGGATATTAAATAAAAACCAAAGTCAATAAATCATCTTAGAAATCTAAAAAGCAGGTAAATAACAGGACAATTTATTTTTAGGATACAGCCATGATAATTTTTCTCCTTAGTACCACACCAAGCAGAAATAAACTCAATTTATAATTCACCAAGCATGTGAATTTTAACCTTTGTGATATCAGATATTTATAAAATATTTTGAAATTGTCTTAAAATTCACATACAATGTGAAAGTATTCATTTTTAAGGTAGATTTGAAATTTTCATGACTCAAATTCCAATGAACTGTCAATACTGGGATATTTGTACTTACATAGGAAATGACCAGGAAGAGTGAGCACTAATCTAATAATATTGGTTTATTGGGTAACAAGTCCTAATATTGGAATCAGTGTATTAAAGGAGACTTTACTTATTAATTCATTTAGGAATATATGTTATATAGTACTTGTGAAATAAAATTAACTTTAGAAAAACAAAATAATCATATTCAGGTTTAGGTATGCATTTTTATATTTCCATTTTAAATAGATAGGCAAAATCAATCTTTCTCCTTGTCTATATCAGTGAGGCCCAATCTCTAATCCTCATTTGTTTCATCATTATCACAGAGAACCCACTATCTATTATGTCCAGTTTAGAAAAATATGAATTTGAGCATTTCTAACACAATTCCACAGTAGGTACTGAAGAAGGTGCTCTTAAGCACCTACCACCATACACAGAGTTTGAACCATCAAGATGGAAAATGAGTTGCCTAGACAGCAGTGACTCCAGGGGAACCTGATCTCTCCTTTCCAGTATGATCAGATGGTGCTAGCAGAGCTGGTAATCCTGAACTCTGAGCCATAAACTTAGGAACTACCAATACTGAGGGAGGGTCCTAATACCCTATGAAGATGGAGCATGGTTCCTACACTTTTCCAAGTTTCCTTTCTCTTCAATAGAATGTTACTCTGAAACTGTAGAACATGACTGCATTCATTCACTGAGTTGGAATTGTACAGCCATCACATCTGAGCCCATTCTCCTAGAATCCCTGAGTAGCAGACAGAATACCTTCTTAGACAATGGATTAACGGAGTATTGTTCAAGGGACATTTCTCTTCTTGCTTAATGGGATAATTCTCCCACATAGAGATGGAGAAATAGAAGCTTCATGGGAGGGGAAAAGGATAAGTAATACAGAACCTAGAAGCTTCATTTCAAATATCTGATAAGGACAGAATGTTCGTGTCCCTTGATCACCATCAAAATACTTATTTTGAAGCTTATTTGGAGATGCAACCCTGAAAGAATTAAGGTAAAATTAGGCCATAAGGATGGGGCCCTGATCTGATGAGATTCATATCTTTAAAAGAAGAGACACCAGCCAGCTCCCTATCTGAATGCATTTCCTGAGGAAAGGCCATGCAATGACATACTAGGAAAGATAGCTGTTTGCAAGTCAAGAAGACCTCACCAGAAGTAGAATTTGCCAGCACCTTGGTCATGAACTTCTATTCTCAGAACTGAGAGAAAATAAATGTCTATTGTTAAAGCCATGAAGTCTGTGGTTTTTTTAAGGCAGCCCAAGCAGATTCACACAACATTAAAAACATCCCTAAAACTTGTCCACTCCCAATATATTCATGGGGGGGATGTAAAAAAAAAATGCTAACGGGGAAAAGACTGTGATTTTAGGATCTGAAGGAGGAGGGGTCTTGTTTGGTAGAAACATGGATGATTCTCAACTCTGTATGAGCTCGGGGAAGTGTTTGTCTTAGAGTTCCTCAGTAAAGTACTTTCAGCAGCCCACTCTTTTTTGCAAAGCCTTAAAGAAGCTCATCTTTGGGCAGAGTAGCACTCAGATTTCTCAAGCTCTTTCTCTGCTAGCTCCCTTTTCAGAATGCTTCCCCACACATTCAGCTGCTTTGAGCTTCCTGAACTCTGAATTATCTATTTTTTATGAGCAAGGGTATGTTTTCAGTCACCTCTACTTTTGCCATAGTTTTAGAATCTCCTCCTGACAGGAAGCTGGAGCAAGTTCAAGTTTATAGGAGAAAGCAAACATTCTTTAAATAATTTTGTATTTAACTATTGTGCTGATTATTATTCCATTTAACTGACTGAGTTTTAAAATACATCGTTTGAACTGTATGTGGTGACATGTGCCTGTAATACTAGTGACTTTCCTGGCTGAGGCATGAGAATTGCAAGTTCAAGGCTAGCCTCAGCAATTTAGTGAGACCCTGTCTCAAAAAAAATTTTAAAGGGATGTGGTTCAGTGCATAAGTGCCCTTGAGTTCAATCTCTAGGATCCACTCCCAAATACATTGTTTGAGTTCTTTATTGGGGAGTTAATTTAGGAATAATGGCCATACCTATTCATATACAGCAAGAGTAGAAAGAAAGATATGTCAACTTATATTCCATAAAAAATTCAGTTAAAATATATATTTGTTCTTATGGATAGAAATCTAGTATCCAAAGAAAGCATATACTTAGGCTGTGGAAATAAGATCAGGTGCACAGTTTATTCTGCCCTGCATCTTCATTTTCTTCTTCTAGAGTTGTTCTCTAAAGAACCTGTAATAGTCTCAAACCATAAAATTTTCCTTTCTATCAAAGACCCAAGTAAAAAGATAAAATTAAAAAACTTTTTTTTTTTAATTTTTAATTTATTCTTTAGTTTTCAGTGGACATAACATCTTTGTTTGTATGTGGTGCTGAGGATCGAACCTTGGCCCCATGCATGCCAGGGGAGCACACTACCGCTTGAGCCACATCTCCAGCCCCTAAAATTAAAAAACTTTTAAAAGAAAATATATGTGTAAATCTTCAAGTCCTTGGATTTGTAACAGATTCTTAGATCGACAGCAGAAATACAAACAATAAATAAATAAATAAAATGAAACAACCCAAATATCCATCAATGGATGCATAAAATGTGACATACTCACAGATAAAATGTTATTCAGTCATAAAAAGGAATAAAGTACTAATATATGTTATAGCACAGGCAAACCTTGTAAACATTATGCTAAGTGAAAAAAAGGCAGATACAAAGCCACATATTATATGATCCATTTATATGAAATGTTCAAAATAGGTAAGTTCACAGGAAAAGAAAGTATATCAGGGGTGGCAAGAAGCCTGGAAGAGAGGAAAATAAGGAGTCTGCTTAATGGGTACAGGTCTTCTTTTGGGGATGGTAAAAATATTCTGCAGTTAGATAGTGGTGATAGTTGGAAGAACACTGTGAATAGACCAGAAACCGCTGAATTGTATATAAGTTGAGTGTCTCTTATCCAAAATGAATGGGACCAAAAGTGTTTCTGATTTGGGAATATTTATATATACATATTTAGATATCTTGAGGATGGATCTAAATCTAAACACAAAATTAATTTATTCTTCATATATACCTTATACATAGCCTTAATTTTTTTTTCAGTATTGAGGATTGAACCCAGGGTCTTTTGCATTCTAAGAAGACATTCTATCAGTCAGTTACATCTCCAGCCTTTTTTTGAAATTTTATTCTGAGACAGTCTTTCTAAAGTTGCCCAGGTTGGCCTTGAACTTGCAAACTTCCTACCTAACCTCAGCCTCCCGAGTAGCTGGGATTATAGGCATGCACCACTGTGCCCAGCTCTTAATGGTAATTTTATACAATATTTTAAAATAATTATTTTCATAACAAATGAGGTCAAGTATGGTATTCAGTAGGTATTTCTGTCAAAACTTTCAGAATATGAGTTGGGCACAGTGGCACATGCCTGTAATCTCAGCGTCTGAGAAGGCTGAGGCAGTTAGGATTGCAAGTTCAAAGCTTGTCCCTCAGCAACTTAGCGTGGTGCCTGCCTCAAAATAAAAAATAAATAAAAAATGGCTGGGAATGTGGCTCAGTAGTAAAGCACCCATGGGTTCAATCCCCCAGTACCAAAAAAGAAAAAAGAGGGAGTTGGGGATGTGGTTCAGTGATTAAACCCCTCTGGGTTCAATTCTCAGTACCAATAAATAAATAACAACAACAACAACAAAAAAAGAAATGTATTAAAATGATATAATTTTATAACTTGTTAATGTAATAGCATTTGAGTTTAGTGGTTGCTATAATTTGAAATAAAATCAGGTAATGTTTTTTCTCCTTCCATTGTGAACTGTGTTGGTTTCAAAGGTGAACTGAATGCCTTCCCAGTATCCCAGTAGGCTTTTTTTTTTGGCGGGGGGAGGGTGGCGGGCAGTGCTAGGTATTGAACCCAGGGCCTCACATATGCTAGGCAAATAACCCACTAAGCCATATCCCCAGCCTGCAGTAGACTTAATTTTTACTGTAATTTTTAAATAATTATGGTCACTGTGTCGTTGAAAATTAATTTTTATTAAGTGTTATTTTCCTATTGGGGCATGTGGCAGATTCTTAACATTTATGTGTAACCTGGTTTTCTTTTTTTTTATGGAACAAATATCATTTTTAAATGTGGATTTTAAAGTTTTACTCTTCAATGTTTATTTTCTTCAAACAAGATTTTTGTCCATGATCTTTTCAAACAACTTGTAGACTAACAAATGTTCACTTTTTTTCATTTACTCAGAAGATACGTGCAAATATCCCATTGTTTTCACAAGTAACCAGGTTTACAAGTTTGCCAAGTTATTTCATCTCAAAAATAATTATTATCATATTATGCTTTCAACGTAAGGTATTTTTTCATTACATAGATTTTACTTTACATGCTTCTATTGTTACAGCTATTATTTGATCATCATTTGTCCTTCACTGGTACCAAAATGTACATCACGCAGGTGTGAGTCTCCTCTTAACAAAGACCACCAGGACTATACCTGTTGTCACATAGTATGTAATGAATTGTAGTAATAAATATGTCTTCACATCATTAAAAAAGAAATGAATTCTCTGGGGGATGGGGCTGGGGCTCAGCAGTAGTGCACTTGCCTGGCATGTGTGAGGCACTGGGTTTGATTCTCAGCACCATGTATAAATAAATAAATAAGAAAGATCTATCAACAACTAAAAAATATTTTTTAAAAAAATGTATTTTCGGGGCTGCAGATGTAGCTCAGCAGTCAAAGCCCCAGCACAGGGGGAAAAAACAAAACAAAAAAAACATGTGCTTTGATTTTCACCTCAAAGGGTTTTTCTAAAAAAAAAATTGTTAAAATATTACCCTCAAGGCTGGAGTTGTGGTTCAGTGGTAGAGCACTTGCCTAGCATGCGTGAGACACTGGGTTCGATCCCCAACACTACATTAAAAAAAACAAACAGCTGGGGTTGTGGCTCAGAGGTAGAGAGCTTGCCTAGCATGCGTGAGGCACTGGGTTCGATCCTCAGCACCACATAAAATACAATAAAGATATTGTGTCTACCTTTAACTAGAAAATAAATATTTAAAAAACTAAATAAACAAATAAAATATCACTCTTCTCCAAAACAAAAACATATATTTCACAACAGCTCTTTATACTGTCATGTCTAGCCTCAGTTCACAGACATAACTGGCACATAAATTAATAAATAATTTTAAAACTTGTTGAATGAATAAATGATACACAACTAAAATGATATATAATTAAAAGATGACTAATAGGGAGGTAATGAATAAGAAAATGATCTAAAATGAGACAGGTAAGAATTGGATTTGGGGGCTGGGGTTGTGGCACAGTGATATGTGTGAGGCACTGGGTTTGATCCTCACCACACACCAAAAATAAACAAATATTAATAAAGGTATTGTGTCCATCTACAACTAAAAAAATGTATATATATAAAAATAATTGGAGCCAGGTGCAGTGGAGCATGCCTGTAATCCCAGCGGCTTGGGAGGTGAGGCAGGAGTTGTGAGTTCAAAGCCAGCCTCAGCAAAAGCTAGGCACTAAGCAACTCAGTGAAACCCTGTCTCTACATAAAATACAAAATAGGGCCGGGGATGTGGCAGTGGCCAAGCGCCCTTGAGTTCAACTCTCAGTACAAAAAAAAAAAGAAAAGAACTGGTATCTGTAAAGGAAAACCCAAAGTCTGAGAACATTATCTGTATGCAATGTGTATCTAAAGAATACAGGCCAGTTATTCTCAGCCACTTTGAAAGTGGTGCTCTAAAAACCAAAATCCTGCCAGGTATGGTGGCAAAACTGTAATCCTTACTACTTAGGATAAACAGCAGGATTGCACGTTGGAGGCCAGCCCAAGCAATTTAGGAAGATCTTATCTCAAAATAATAAAAATAAATGAATAAATAAATAAAGGGTTGGAAATATGTAGTGTTTGCCTAACATGTTCTAGGCTGAGGGTTCAAGTCCCAGTACCACAAAAGAAGAAAGGAAAGAAGGAAGGAAGGAAGATCTCCAAATTTCTAAAAACTCAAGAGTCAACACTTGAAGGGACCAGAATACCTGGATGGCTCTGGCTTGAGAAATTCTTCTAATGTCCTCGGCTCCTTTCCTTGCTCCAACATGCAGATTGCCTCTGTCTTGGTGACACAATACCCTACAAATAAGAAAAAACACAAGACTTGGGCCAGGTTTGTGGATTTCCAGGTTCTTGAAGGAGAAAAGTACAGCTCCAGGATCTATATAACAATAGGACCATTTAAACTTTTCACTGGAAGTGGGGGGAAATGTTATTTCTAGATCAAAAGGGAAAAGACCTTTGGCCCACTGGTTAGCTTTGGATCCTATGTTTCAATCTAAAAATCATTAATCTAGCTAGGCATAGTGGCACATGCCTGTAATCCCAGTGGCTCAGGAGGCTGAGGCAGGAGGATTCCAAGTTCAAATCTAACCCCAGCAACTAAGCAAGACCCTGACTCAAAAATATAAAGGACTTTGGATGTAACTCAGTGGTAAAACACCCCTTGGGTTTAAATCCCTGGTAACCCACTCCCCCAAATCAATAATCTCTATAAAGGATGATGTGTACCAGCAACTTTAAAAAGAAATTTTATTTGGAATTATATAAAACACAATCCTTACCCACTGAGATGAAGTGGTTGTAGTTCTCCAGAATCACAGCCCTATAAAAGGTCCTTTGAGCAGGGTCCAGGTGCTGCCACTCCTCTTGGAAGAAGCCTACAGCTACAACCATGAATGACCCTGGTCCCTTTAAAAGTATATTTGTGGGGCTGGGGCTGTAGCTCAGTGACAGAGTGCTTGCCTAGCACGTGTGAAGCACTGGGTTTGATCCTTAGCACCACACAAAAATAAACAAATAAAATAAAAGCTTTCTGTCCATCTACAACTACAAAAAAATTATTTTTAATTTCTATGATGAGCTGAAATGGACAACATGCAATGTTTGAAGCACAAAACCTTGTTGTGTTCACTATTGATACCTGAAGAGAAAATGTCACACATAACACACCTAATCTGGAAATATTTTGGCATTTTAATGTTGTGGGAGAACAAATAATAGAAGTACCCTCAGAAGTACCTATCCATATACTAATGGGTACTTTAATCCCAGCTGTTTGGGAGGCTCAGGTAGGAGGATTGCAGAATCAAAGCCAGCCTCAGCTATTTAGCAAGGTCCAAAACAATTCAGTAAGACCCTGTCTCCAAATAAAATATATAAAAAAAGGACTAGAGATGTGACCAGTAGTTAAGTGCCCCTGGGTTCAATCACCGGTACCAAAAAAAAAAAAAAAAATCTGAGGCTCCTCAATTGTCTCACTTTCTGGGAATGTAAAAAATGAATTTTTGGCTATTCAGTGTATTATTCATCAGGAGAGACTGTAAGCAAAAATAACCAACATGGTTTCAACACCATTATAAAAACACAAATAACTAGGATGGAAGCAGACCTCAAATGGAACAGTAAGCTTTCCTTTATTCCACAGTGGAGTCTATCAATCAGGCATTGTAAGGGCTCCTTTTCTGGGTAGAAAAATGGCCTTCAGTTACAAAAGGGGTATGAGTTTTAAAGTTTACAATGAGGGTGGGCTTAATCATTGGAAACTGCAGACATGCTGATCGAACAGTTAAGGAACTAGTAGTGTAGTGGAATCCCCTTTCTCCACAGAAAAGTCTTAACTGGGCTTCTCCAGAAATCTTCACCATGGCTGATTTGGGGACTGTCAGCAAAAACGTCTCTGCAAAAGAGTTCAGTGTAGATAAACTTCCTATTTTCCATTTTGCCCTGTTTTACTTGGCCACTGGCCAGGAAGATGCCAGCACTCCAGGTGCTGGACACCCCCTTACTAGTTTTTCACAAATGTATCCAGTATAGTAGTTTGTAGAAATGTGCAAACAAGGCTGATAGCCTTGAGCTGGGCTTCACAGAGATGTCTACATTTTTAAGATAAGAGAAGATACCAATTGGGCTCCATGGTAACAGCTGGCAGGGGGAGGAAAGAGAGGGGAGGGGAGAAGAAGCTCTCCCCTTCTCAGATGTTGTCCTTGAAGTGTTAACTTGCCCAAAACAGTAAAAGGAAAAAGCTGCTTTTATGTAAACTTCTGCAGACTGTGAACTTCTGATCCCCTCCCCTTACATGCTGGATATAAAACTCTGAAACTACCTGAACTCGGGGTTCAGGAGATTGATTGATTACAGCAGAAGCTGTGCTCTCTTAATCTTGCTTCAGCCAAATAAAACTGTTTCCTGCTATCTTCGGTGCCTTACTTAGTCTGTCCCTACAACAGTAGTCCAGGCTGAAATTTTAACTAAGGAAGGCAGTTGTAAAATGTTTGAAACTCTAACAATGAGGAGATAGGAACTCAGATCCTGAGAGATGAAAACTCAAATCCTACTCATTGCATTTCTTCTTCCAGTGGGATTCATTGTTTCCCAGAGTTTCTCACTATCTACTGTGCTCTGTTCAGGACTAATTGGTAATTTCGGAAGTTCAAAGTTTAGGGTCCAGGCTTCAGTATCACCTCTTTCCTTCAAGGCCTATTGTTCTTGGAAAAGGTTTAATGTTTGGCTAATTTCTCTCCCTCTCCTGAGCCACATCCTCTTTCCTTTTTTTTTTTTTTTTTGCTTTTAATTCAAAATTGTACTTACATATTTGAGTGGAAATTTGCTTAAAATGAGAATGGACTTCAATTACAAGGAGCCTGCAAAAATAGGAAAGAATTCTCAAATATTAAAAACCTTGCCAGGGCAGTGGCACATGCCTGTAATCCCAGCAGCTCAGGAGGCTGAGGCAGGAGGATGGCAAATTCAAAGCCAGCCTCAACAATGGCTAGACACTATACTACTCAGGGAGACCCTGTCTCTCAATAAAATACAAAATAGGGCTGGGGATATGGCTCAGTGGTCAAGTCCTCCGGAGTTCAATCCCCAGTACAAAAAAAAATCCTTGACTACTGAATTTGAAAACCAAAATCAAAACACCCAACTGAAGGAGGGAAAGAGAATGGATAAATAAGAGATTCAAACCTTCTTTCCTGAGTATCTAAAATAACAACATTTTCTAGCTTATTAGAAGAAAAAACTTATTTGCCCTCTACTGTCTACAAAGTCACACCAGCTCAAGAGATTCTTTAACAAGTTTAAGGCCACACTTTGAACAAAAAACTACAAAGCATGCCAACAGGCTAAAAAATAAAACAAACTCCGAAGAACAAGCAATCAGAACCAGACTCAGATAGGACCCAGATGTTGGAATTATATATAGACAATTTAAAATAACTATGACTAATTTGGTATGGTATTTTAGTCAGCTTTTCATCACTGTGACCAAAAGACATGACAACAACTTAGAGGAGGAAAAGTTTATTTTGGCTCATGGTTTCAGAGGTTTCAGGCCATGGTCAGCCAACTTCACGGATCTAAGCCTGAGGTGAGGAAAAACATCATGGAGAAAGTGTGGTGGTGGAAAGCTGATGAGTTCATGACATCCAGGAAGCAGAGACAGAGGTCTGCCCACCAGAGACAAAATATAAACCCAAAGACATGTTCCCCCAAAAAATGGCCTACATTAATATAATTGTGAATGACAAGGATAAAATCTTAGAAGCTTCCAAATGAAAGAACAGCTGACATACAAAGGAAAGAAAGATTCTTGCTTCAGATTTCTCCTCTATTGTGGAGGAAGCAAAAATACAGTGAGATTATGAGAGAAGAATTTCAGGAATCCTTCCTATACATACACACACACACACAGAGACACACACACAAATTGTCTTTCATTTGATAGGTCCAAAACCAGACATGTTCAAATGGGCAGGGCCTCGGGGAATAAAATACCCATAAATTTCTGCAAGGAAAATGCTGAGGCGGTGTTAACAAACTGCCAAACAAGTCTCCAGCGGGGGCAATGTGATGAGGGGAGAAATGGAAACAAGGTCTTGCTATTAATAATATAGTTACAACAACATGCAGAGTGCCCACATGATCCACAATGTAACATGAAATGTCAACAGCTTTTGAAATAAAAGAGACCACCAGAAAGGAAAGAGCCAGTAATATCCTGATAAATTAGCAAAATAAAGGAGGTTGGATGTGGGTTGGGCTGGAGTCTGGGATAGGGTGGGTAAATTAAAGCTTTCTAAAGTCATCTAGGACAGGCTAGAGAAATGGCAATCAGTACACCACGGATCAGGAGAAGAGCAATTAATTTATCCTAATATAAGCTGGGTTATAATAAGAGGTTATGGGTTAGTAACAAAGAGAACTGAATACCAGAAAACTACTAAACTAGCAGAAAGAATAATGAGCAAGAAATCTGAACAAAACAGAAAAAAGAAACTAAGTATGTTAATTGTATACATTACAATGCATGTTATAATTATACTCAGATATAAGGATTGAAAAACCAAGTTGCAGAGCAAAACCAAAATAGAAACAGAAAATATGAATGGCTAAATTTCTTCTCTGAGATATATTATCATAATATTTTTTTAAAAAATTCAGTTATATAATGTTTAAGAAATAAATTCAAAACAAAGAGATGAAAGAAAGCAAAGAAATGGGCAAAATACTTCAGGTAAAAGCAATTAAAAGGAAAGCAATAGTGGCCTTACTTATATTAAAGTGAAAATTGCAGTCTTAGTCTTGCCTTTAACTTAATGGTATGAAAACAATTATCACCCAGTGATAAATAGAAAAAGTAGTCAAGGATAAAAGTCAAGTCTTTGTATATCCAAAGACAAAGTCAATTGCAACCTTGGTTATAGAAAACAAACTCTTGAGGCAAGATACTTCTTTCAACTTACAAGGAGATAAAAATTAGCAAATAGAGCCATCACATGGTATTATAAACAGAATATTTCACCCTTTTATTCTAGGAAAATTAACAAAACTTGATGAAATAATGACACTTAAAATTCAAATATAAAATTTAATACTGTAAATTTGTATAATCTAATAATTCTCAACAAACATGTAATATAGGTATTATTATCTGCAACATAAAATATAAGAAAACTGGAGTAAAAGAAGGATAATTAACATGTCCAGGATGGGAAGGAAGTCATATGACAACAAAAGCATTCATTTATAATCATTAGATCATGTGTTGGTCACTAAGAAAGAAAAAAATTTTTACCACTGAACTACATCCTCAGGCTTTTTCATTTTTTATTTAAGACAGGGTCTCACTAAGTTGCTAAGGGCCTCACTAATTTGCTGAGGCTAGTCTCAAACTTGCCAGCCTCCTATTTCAGCTTCTCAAGTAGCTGGGATCATGGGCATGCACCACCACATCTGGCCATTAAGAAAATTTTTAATAAATTCTAGAAAGCATGGGGCTGGGGATGTGGCTCAGCAGTAGAGTGCTTGCCTTGCATGTGCAGGGCCCTGGGTTCGATCCTCAGCACCACGTAAAAATAAATAACCAAAATAGAGGTATTGTGTCCAACTACAACTAAAAAAATAAATAAATATTTTTTTAAAAACTTGCAATCCTTATGCCTTGGCCTCCCAAGTCACTGGGATATAATCCCAGTGCTGCTGGGCCTAACATCTTTAAAAAAAAAATTATAGAAAGCAGAAATGTATTAAAAGTAGCATTTTGAGATACTACATTCTCAATTTTGAGCTTTAAAATTGAAAAAAAAATAGATTATTTTACCTAGGACATGAACTCATTAAAAAAAAAAGAAATAGTTCTATAAGAAAAACTTTGGACCAAAGATAAATACCAAAATCTAAATTACTAATTATCTGGCATTAAATGTAATGAAGATACTTTACATGACAATTTTAGGGCACAACTAAAGGTATTACAAAATACTTGCCTTTAACTTATTTTTAAAACTAAAAGACTAAAAATAGATTATGAATTATATACTTCTATAAGAGAAATTAGGAAAAAAACAGGATAAGTTAAGGATAAAATCATAAATGATTATAATTAAAATAAACAAAAGGAAATAAGGATGAGGCTAAATATAAAACTAAAAGCGGTTTGTCAGAACTAGCCTAAGAAAGAGATTAAATCTAAAACTGAAAGCCGGACCAGTGGCCCAAGCCTGTACTTCCAGCTACTCAGAAGGCTGAGGCAGGTGGATCACAAGTTGTAGGCCTCAACAATTTAGCATGATCCAGTCTCAAAATAAAAAGGGATAGGGATGTGGCTCAGTGGTAGAGCATGCCTGAGTTCAATCTCTAGAACTAGAACTGAAAAAAAAAAAACAAAACTAAAGTTGATGTTAGAAACTTTAAAACAGGGTAATAAGGCAAAAACATAAATATAGCTTTGAGAAAGTACACTTAACATATCCTATGAAATAAGTATTTACACAAAAAGAAACCACAGGAAAAAGGAAATCGCAGGGAAAAATAATCACTTAAATATTTTATTTAACTAGGGAATGATTCTGACCAAATTATATTGTTGTATCATGTGCATATATGAATAGGTAACAATGAATTCCACTATTCTCTATAATTATAATATTTTTAATAAAAAACATTTTAAATTTTTATTTAAATGTTACAAATAAAATAACAGCTGCACTATATTGTTATGGTTTTGCTCATGTGTGAGACAATGCAAGAAAGCTTAGAAATAAAATGATTGGGTTATGAGAACATTAACATAATCAGTGCATTAATCCTCTGATTGAGGTTAACTGGTTTGTAACTTTAGGCAGGTGGGAGGAGGTAGGTCATTGAAGATGTGCCTTTGGAGTTTATATTTTGTCTGTGGTAAGGGGAGATTCAGTCTCTCATTCTCTCTCTCTCTCTCTCTCTCTCTCTCTCTCTCTCTCTCTGCTTCCTCGTTCCATGTCCTGAGCCTCTTTCATCCAACACTCTTCTGCCATGATGTTCTGCCTTACCTCAGTCCCTGAGGTATGGAGCCAGCAGTCTGTGGACTGAGATCTCTAAAACCATAAACCATAAGGGTACAAGATAAATTATGGAAGTCACAAGCTAAATGAATAGACACAAATTTTAAGCATGTTAACCAACAAGTTAGAAATGGTAATGAAAGAAAAAAGGGAGTAATATAAAAATCAATAAATTAGTTAGGAATAAAATTAGCTTCATTGAGAAAATGACATTAGGGCTGGGGATAGCTCAGTTGGTAGAGTGCTTACCTTGCATGCACAAGGCCCTGAGTTCAATTCTCAGCACCACCGAAAAAAAGAAAATGACATTTGAGCAAAGTCCTGGAGAATCATAAAACATATTGAATTAATCCAATAGAAAGCAGAAAAAGAATAGTTAAGACAATTAGATGACAGACCTAAAGATAATCATATCAATATTCATATTATATATAAGAATGTTTTGGGGACTGGGGTTGTAGCTCAGTAGTAGAGCACCTGGGTTTGATTCTTAGCACCACATATAAATAAATAAAAAATAAAGGTCCATCATCAACTAAAAAAATAAATTAAAAAAAAAAGAATGCTTTGGGGCTATGATTGTAGCTCAGTGGTAGAGCACTTGCCTAGCATATATGAGGCCCAAGGTTTGATCCCTAGGGCCATATAAAACTAAATAAACAAAATAAAAGTATTGTGTCCATCTACAACTTAAAAAAAAAAAAAAAAGAATGTTTGGCCCAAACATCCAAAGGCAGGGATTCTCACAGTGGATTTAAAAAAAAAAAAAAGCAAGGCCTTTTTATATACTACCTACAACAAACTCACATTAATATAAAAATAGAAACAAGTTAAAAGGATTGAAAAAAGATGCATCATCATCCATTTTATGCTGCTATAACAGAATACTTGAGGCTGGTTAATTTATAAAGAATAGAGATTCTTTCTTACAAGAAAGAAGCTGGAAAGTCCAAGTTCAAGGAGCCCTTATCTGACTTTTGTGCTGCATAATGCCATGGTGGAAGGCAGAAGAACAAGAAAAGGTGTGCACTTGAGAGAAGGAAGAGGGTGGAACTCATCCTTTTATCCAGAACTTACTCCCCCATGATAATAACATTAATCCATTCACGAACTCACAGTCCTAATGAATCAATCACCTCTTAAAGGTCCTTCAAACCATAGCAATATATCATGCTAACACTAATCAAATGAAAAAGATACAGCCTAACAGTTACTAACAATTAGATGAAGCAGCTTTCCAAGCAGAATATTACTAAGGATTAAAAAAAAATTTTTATGATGATAAAGGAGTTAATTCATCTAGACATAAAAATCCTAAATATTTATATACCTCAAAAAGCTTCAAAAATACATGAAACAAAAACTTACAGAATTACAAGAAGAAATAGATAATTGAATATTTATAGTCAAATTTCAAACTCTTTTTTTGTAATAACTGATAGAACAAGTAGACAAAAAAAAAAACACTATATGGATATCTTAAAAATCTAACCAAAACTATAAACTCAACTAACTTTACCTGAGACCCTACAACAGAATACACATCTTTTCATATTTCTGGTTCATAAAAAAAAAAGTTTCAGAGGTTGAGGTTGTGGCTCAGCAGTAGAGCGCTCGCCTAGCATGCCCAAGGCGCTGGGTTCGAGCCTCAGCACCACATAACATAGAATAAAGGTATTGTGTCCAACTACAACTAAAAAACAAAATTAAAAAAAAACAAGTCTCAATCAGTATAAAAAGATTCAAGTACTACATACAGACAGAACACAATAAAAGAAATCAATATTAGAAAGCCAAAAAATCTTCCCACAAAGATAATTCCTGAACTAGATGAATTCACTGGTGAATTCTATCAAACATTTAATATGCAACAACAGACAAGTGTGGTGGTATATGCCTATAATCCCAGCAACTTGCGAGGTGGATCATAACTTGGAGACTAGCCTCAGCAACTTGGTGAGATGCTGTCTCAAAATAAAAATAAAAAAGGGCTGGGGATATAGATAGCTTGGAGGTTAAGTTCAATTCCGGGTACCAATTAATTAAAAATATAACAGCAATTCAACACAAATTTTTTCAAAACACTTCAGTGGAGGGGATACTTCCCAACACATTCTATGAAGCCAGCATTATTTTTATAGCAAAACATATCACAAGAAAACTATGAACTAAGCCTAATAAACACAGATGTAAATATTTGTAAGTCAAACAAATCTTAATCTAAGTAAATACAAATCTAACAATATATAAAAGAATGAGAGATGCACTTGTCCCAGATACTTGAGAGCCTAACATAGGAGGATCACTTAAGCTCACAAGATTGAAACCAAACCAGCCTGGACAACACAGCAAGACCACTATCTCAAAAAAAAAAAAAAAAAGGAGAGACAGAAAGTGAGAAAACCCGTTTACTAATTAAAAAAAAAAAAACTCCATGTCAATTTAAAGAAGAAAAATACAGCACAATGGTGTAAACAGGCAGCTACTTTGTGTATAATAAAAAGGTAAATAAGAATATTCCAATTTGCTCTTCTACACAAAGACATAAAAGGAGGATATACAAAAAGCTAATAAGGGGACTGTGGGGAAAAGTGGAGAAAAACAATGAGACTTCCTAATATATATGTATTTATGGTGCTTTTAACTTATACAATGTGAATAAATTATTTAAAACTATAAAATTATTATTATTTAAATTTATGAAATTTTAAAAATATACTGAATAAGTAGTGTACACCTATAATCCCAGTTTCTTGGGAAGTTGAGGTAGGAGCATCTAAGTTCCAGTCCAGCATGGGAAACTTAGCAAGACCCTGACTCAAAATTAAAAATAGAAAAGGCTGGGCATGTAGCTCAGTAGAAGCTACCACAAAAAAGAAAGAATGGACAACTGACCAGATGAACAGGAAAACTGAGACGTGTAATGGTTTACAATGAATCCTAGGGCTAGGGGTGCAGCTCAGTGGTATAGCACTTGCCTAGAATGAATCGTGCTTTTAGTCATTTGGATGACTGCTAAGCAGTGTTAACATCTGACAGGGAATAAAGGAATATGATTACTTTCATCTTAGATCTGCTACGTTGAGATGCCTTAGGACAAATTATATACAAACGGCAAGCTCTAAGGTGCACATCAGGGTCCATAGGTAGAGCTGAGAGCCAGAATAAAAAGACAAATTCTAAAATGCTCCCAGCAGGTGCTTCCCAGCTATAACCACAGAAAGGATGGAACCCATTCTATGGAGACCAGGACAGCCATTTAGGAAAAATAATGTTCAAGAGAAGGAGGCTGAAGAAAGCATCCTGAAAGAGAAAATCTAGACAAAGGCACTGAGATGTTGGTGTGGTGTCATAGAAAACCTCAAAAGAGACCAGTGGGCAGTGTTGATGAGACAGCAGGCACTAGAGAACAGCCTCCATTTGATTATAATTAGGTCCCTGTGACCTTTACCAAATGCAGATGCAAAGGCAGAAGGAAGAGAGGTCTGAAATGTGAATTAGGATTGTAGTTAGCATAACTCTGATCTGGGCCTTCCCATAAATACAGCCTAAAGGTGAGAAAAAATTTACTGAAATAACCTGAAAATGCACTCAATTTCTTCTTCCAAATATTCTATGCTCTATCCCTAGATGAAGTGGCAACATCAGAAAATGCTCTAGAATAGCACTGCCCAATTTGGTAACTTCTAGTCACACACATGACAATCATGCCTTTAAAATGTTGTTATCTGACTTAGAAAATACATTTTGATTTTATTTAATTAAACTGCAATATCCACATATGGTTAGTATCAGACATATATTTTGATTCTCTGAAAACTTATATTCACTGAGTTTTTCCTTAGTTTTAGAATTCTCTGTTCCCATGGAAGAACTACTGAATGAAAGAAGCTGCATTTGTTTTATTGAAGTTATTGGAAGGTTATATACTTCATCACTCACACAAAGTGCATAAAAGGAATGCCAGAGTCTTCATGTCCCATTAACAATATGACTTTTCCTCTTGGATAATGTAAATCCCATTACCAATATCTGCATTTCACCATGATTACCAGAAAGATCAGAGGAAAATTTGCAGTTAAATTTGGATAACACTATAAGATCAGAAAGCCTACACACACCTACACAATAAATCATCCTGTTATTGATCTGCTACTAGATATTTCTACATTGTTTTGCATATATTTCTGTATTTCCATTCTAATCCAGTGACCCTTGAAAACTTCATACAAGACATTATAAATAAAGCTGTGAGGAATAACTCAACTGGGATCTCTTCATTTTTGATTGGTCTTGGGAAAGCATGGAGAGTGTGAAGGTGGGGAAAAAGAAGGAAGAATGAAGTCAGGAAAAATCTGGCCTGTCTTGCAGCTCCTAAATTCAACTTCCTAAAATGTCCACAGAAGAGACGGTACAAACAATGTGAAGACACATGTATGATCATGTATGATCAGTGTTGAATTTAGACATCCAATTTTTCTTTTTTTTTTTTTTTGTATCTGAGATTGAATAGAGGGGCGCTTAATCACTGAAGTACATCCCAGCCCTTTTGTTGGGGGGCGGGGATGGCGGAAGGGAGTCTCTCTAAATTGCTTAGGCCTTCACTAAGTTGCTGAGGCTGGCTTTGAACTTTCCATCCTCCTGCCTCAGCTTCCTGAGTTGCTGGGATTACAAGAAGGCACCACCACACCCAATAAGAATGAATCTTTAGAGAGGGGATGTACTTTAGGAACCTATACCTCTGTCCCTGCTGGTCATGGCTCATTCCCAGACACTCTGGGGGCACTCTGACTGAGTGCCCCCACCTCTCTACCCTTTCCTGTCTCATTTCCTTGCTAGGGCCAGCATCATGTGTGTTTGTGTGTGTATGTATGTGTGTATGGGCGGGTGTATGTGTGTTGTGTTGCTGGGGATCAAACCCAGGGCTTCATACACACTAGGCATGAAGCCCTCTACCAATGAGCCCAAGTACCCGTTTTTAACCCTACTCGTCAATCATTTCAAGAAACTTCCATTTACTCTGCAGCACCCAGGAGGAAGATTCAACTTGTATGTCTGGCAGATTAAATTTCACATTATCATTTTTAAAATAACAAAACTCAAGGTGGTGTGGTACTGCCATAAGGACATACATATAGATCATTCAAGTCCAGAGATAAATCTTTATATTTATGGTCAACTGATTTTCAATAAAGGTACCAATGGGGAAAGAGACTCCTTTCAATAAATGGTGCCAAAACAACTGAATATCCTCACTTAAGAAAATGAATTTAGACACTTATACCATACCTAATAATTAAGCCAAAATGTGTCAAAGACAT